GGGTTATCATAATTTGAATTATAAGTATAATTGGATGGGAATAACCTTAATAGTGTTATGAAGAAAAGGGATCTTGATGTAATAGTTGATCAGTCTCTAAAGTCATCCAAGCTGTGTGCCATTGTGGTAGGGCATATATGATTTTAGGTTGAATCTACAGAAATATTGAATACAAGTCTAAAAATGTTATAATTTCATTGTATAGGTCATTAGTTAGGCCACATTTGGAATACTGTGTTCAGTCTTGGGCTCCTTACCTTAGCAAAGACATTGAATTGTTGGAAAGGGTTCAAGAGAATGGTTACTAGAAATATGCCTGGGATGGAGGGGTTGTCATAGGAGGAGAGGCTGAAATCTCTCGAATTGTTTTCTCTTGAAAAAAGAAGAGTTAGGGGAGGATCTGATTGAGATGTTTAAGATTGTAAAGGGAATTGATAGTGTTGATGTATCATCTTTTTTCATATTTAATGGTGAGAATAGTGGGACTAGGGGACAAAAATATAAATTTTGGCAGAGTAGGAATCATGTTCAGTAAAAACAGTTTTATTTTTCTAACAAGGTGGTTGGTCTTTGGAATGGGTTGCAGTAAATTTGAGTTTAAGAAAAAGCTTGATAAGTATATGAGTGCTAAGGGCTGGCTTTAAGATTTTTTCCTTAATTATTTTAATTTAGTTTAAAGGATGGAATAGCTGAGATGGACCAATAGGTCCCATGTTGTCCCAAAATGTTATGTTACTGATAACAGCCTTTGTTTTTTATGAGTTCCAAATCTTATCAGATCTTCTCTAAAGTAAATATAATTCAAAGCAGTGACTTTGTAATTTTTTCCATGTTTATAGCCTAACATTGTGACTCAATACAACTTTTAAGTTGATCATGTGAAGATACTTATGTCAACCTTAAAGTGTACTTTATCATTAAACTATAAATATTGCAATCCTTATAGTTACCATTTGCAATGGCATTTTCATTAAACTTACTTTATTTCAATCTTACAAGTTACATATGTGAAAAAAATACCTACCTAATGAAATTTTATACATTACCTGTTATGAAATGGACTTCTACTTCTACTTCTTGACCAAGCATTCGTTCTTCTAGAATAAGGACTGGGACTTCGAGAATAATTATGTGGTCTGTCTCTTTCTCTAGTATCTGAAGGTGACCTTCTTCTCTGCTTTGTGGCTCGCAATACTGGACTAGAAGATGGACTTCTACGATATGCACGAGGTGCTTCAGGAGTCCTAGATTTCTTTCTTGTTCTTTCACGAAAATTATCCCGTCCTCTTTCATAATAGTAATCTGAGTCACTTGGATGTGAATGTTCATAGCTTTCTCTAAAAGAATATAGAAAACCTCTCTCAAAGTCCTTTTCTCTTCCATGCAAATACATATTTGGTCCTTCACGAGAGGAAAAGTCTTTTGAAGTTCTGTCACGATCTCTTTCTTTTCTTTCTCGTGAAAAAAATGGGGATGAAGATTTTTCTTTTTCTCGATGTCTTGATGTTTTAGCTGCAGGTGACACTCTCTCTTTACAGCTTTCTCTCTGGTAACTTCTAAATTTTTCAATTCCTCTTTTATCACTTATTTTAATTTTACTGCTTAATGCACTTCCTGAAGTTTTAGATGGAGGTGATAATATTAAACTATCAGTTTCATCTACAACAGAATGGTTTGTTTCTGAAAAAGCAGAAGAATCTGAACTTACATCATCATATTCTACTAATGATTTAACTGTCGATAATGAAACCTTCTCCTGGTCTTTTCCTTTGGAATGTTTCTTTTTTGGATTTCTATGTGATGACTTTTTCAAGTTCTTGTGCCTTTTACAGACACTTGGACCAGCTGAACCTGATGCAACACTTCTATCAAAATACGAGTTAGACGATGAACTATGCTTACTATCTTGACCCTTTTGACTCCTCTCTCTGTTATTGGTATTGGCACTTTTAGTTTTAGCACGAGAACGATGTTGTTCTGAGCTCGGCATCGCTCCAAAAGTGTCTTGATACAATATTCGGAAGATAACAAAATTTCACAAAGTGCAAAAATATCATCTCACCCTGTTCTGTTTTGGCCAAAATCTACAAGTAGCAATGACGAAACACTCTGACGCCATCTTGTTCAACTTCATACTTTCATTTTATACTCTTAGGCTTAAGATGGTCATTTGATCAGTTATAAATATTTCACAATGAATATTGTCCAAGTTAACTTTCAGCATCAAATGTTCACTTAGTCGTTTATTATGGACGCTTTTGCCAATGACTTTTTAACGAGTGGCAATATTATCATCATTACTATTACTAGGAAGTCTTCGCGTCCTAAGACAGACCCATCTTTAAACACTATTTAGAAATAAAATTGAAATTAGAGTAATGGGTTCGTACGTCTTTATTCAATACTTTTGGCTTTAAAATATTTCATGATCATTGGGATTTCTTAACAACAGGTATATTTTCCCTGATGTAAGTGGATTTTACGCCCTCGTCAAATTCACTGCAATAAAAACGACAAACCATATAGGTGACGTCACGTGACCTTCCAATTTTTGCAGGAATTGTGGGAACCTCTTCCGTATCAACTGAACCTAATATTAGTTTGAACAATAATTTATTGATTTGCCTTCAAAAGTGTATATGTATGTTTAATAACAGTCGCAAAAATATTTCCTTAATTTTTATTTTTTAAGTATTTTCAAAATTATATCACACACACACACAAATATTTTTCTCTTTCCCTTTACACGAATTATTTGTCCTTTTATGCAAATACGTCACATATTATTTTATAACATAATATTAAAGAACAACGAGGGACCTTTTTGTCCATTTAGGCCGTCCTACCAACTGAATACTAAAAACTCAAGGCAAGCCCTTGTCATTCAAATATTTATCAAACTTCCCATAAACTCCCTTAATTCAATCGCGTCTATCACATCTGAAGTCGACCCGTTACAAATGTTAACAACCCTGCTAGAAAAATAAAGTTGTCTTAGCTCAAGATGAATCCTACCCTGCCAAGATTTATATTTTTGTCCCTAGTCTTACCATTCTCACTTATACGAATATTAATAAAGATGATGCATCACTACCATCAATTCTCTTAACAATCTTAAACATTTCAATCAGATTATTTCTAACCTTTCTTTTTTCAAGGGAAATCAATTCAGAGATTTCAACATATCCTCGTATGACAACCTTTCCATCCTAGTAGCCCTTCTCTGAACTCTTTCCAACAGTTCAATGTTATTTCTAAGGAAAGGAGCCCAAGACTGGGCACAGTACTTCCAATGCAACCTACCCAATCACATTATAACCTCTTTCGGCGTGTATTCAGTATTTCTCTAGATTCAAAGATAAATCCTCTCTGCTCTACCACTAGCAACAGTACATTATCTGGATGGCTTAAGAGACTGCTCAACCAGAACACTGTTAATGCTATTCCCATCAAACTTATTCTCATAATTCAAATTGTGATATCCCATATACATTACCTTGCATTATTATAATTAATAGCCATCTGCCATTTATTTGCCAAAATTGCCAAATACTCCAAATCCTTTTGTAAAGCATAACCATAGCCAGAAACACCCAAAAATTTAATGTCATCAGCAAATTTAAATGATTTTTTGACTATTCTTTCATCTATATCATTGGTGTAAATTAAAAAAGCAAAGACCCAAACATTAAACCTTGATATACCCCACTTATGACATCAGTCTAGTTTGTCTAAACTCCATTTATAAGAAGCCTTTGCTTTCTTACATCTAGTCAATTTTCTATTCAATGAGCCAACTTTTTAACAAGCCTTTATGTGGCAACTTGTCAAATGCTTTCTGAAAATCCAGATACACTAAATATACACCCATGTTCTTGTCTACATAAGCAATAACATCTTCAAACAATGTCAAAAGATTAGTAAGGCATGATTTTTTCCTAGTGAAACAATGCTGACTATCTAACAAAATTTTAAGCTTTATTAAATTATTTTGCA